AACAAAGTATACATTTAGTCCTTGAAGTAACTGATTCTCCGTATTACCTAGTTTAACATTACATGACATTACCATTAACCAATTTAGGTAACGACAGACCTACTCTACCATGATATTTAACATGAATTAGTATGAACTAGTGAACTAATGAATATTTCAATGTATTGGAAGGATATCTGTATCATTCTAGATCACCATACTATTTAAATAAAAGGGATACATTCGGTGCTGTGTAACAGTGTACGTGTGTGTATAGTTTTTTTTAAAAAAATCTTTATCTAATCCAAAAACACCAATTCAGTACTTCATTTCCGACATGCAAACATCTTTTATTCATTGAACATTTAAATATCTATGTAAAAAGACAGAATTTTCTATCTGATCCTTCTAAAAATTGAATATTTCAAGCATCATGCTTTAGAAACTAACGATCTTACATATACTAGTAGTAACAACTAGATCGATAGTTAATCATGTGATATCCTAGATTAGGAATAGGTTACACTGGTTACAGATGAAATCAACAATGATTTATATATATATTGTGTAATCATACCTATCTTCTTGGGAATCTATATCTATGATTATACAACTTACCTCAGTACTAACAAGATGATATTATTTGTATCATATTTATCATAGTAATTTGCTTTCAATGTTGTAACAATTCTTAGACGTTTCATTTGACTTGGGGGTTTTGCGATTAGCTCAAAAATTAATGTCATCTACATAGCAGAGCTTTCTTTTGCATATGTATTGAAGTTCAATGCCCCCAAAAGCCCTGATACGGCCGAGAGTAAGGAGAGTCCGCTCTCCCTCTCTCGAAATGCTCTCACATAGCCACGCGTATACAGCCACTCCAAGGGAAGTCCTACTTAATACCTTCTCGTGACGACGAAGTGTTGTTTACGAAATTAAGAGGACGAAAAGCGAATGTCCAGCACTTTAACAGGATTGTTGGATACGGAGGATCTACCTAGGGAAGTTGTAAAACCCTCATTCCAAACTAATGGTTCACATGGGCTCCAGGATACTAAGAAAACAAATGGCGTATGAGCCAGTCGTTGATCGCCGGCTACCATGGGACTGGCTCTCCTTACGATGCTCCACTGCTTTGTGGATCAGACCTTTAGGTCAAAGGCTCCGGGTGTGACCCCCTAAGAAAACCACCTGCTTCGGTTTTGGCACCCGAGCAGTACCACAACTCTCACACAAATCTCATTTGATTTATGTGACGCGCATGTATCTAGTGCCCCCTTGTACCAATATTTGTGTTCAAATAAAGTAAAATAAAAAATCAAAATACAATGACTTCTCCAGACAAAAAAATTAATTTTATTTTAATTCTCTGAAGATGAATAGACCCTTAGTTTGAGCTAATCGTACTTAACTACGGCTTGATTTAGAATTGGATATCAACTGGGGGTTTGATGGTGATTACATTAAGTTTTTTTTATAAAAAAAACAGATAGAAAATTCATTTAACTTGAAATGGATTAAATTATCCCATTATTTTTAACTGGGATTTGATCAGTTTTGGTTAATATGTGTAGTTCCTATGTGAATTGCTTCGATATGACTACTATGACATAAGTTAGTATAGAATAGATGTAATGTGGTTATCAGTATAATTCAATCCATTTCATATTGAATTACAAGTCATATCCGTTGCACAAATGATTATTTATCTGGATTCAGTAGCTAAATAGATAACATGATGGCACTTGAAACAAACAGCTCTAGTGTGTTCGAGTCCCGCAGTTAACATGAACTTTAGAATGCAGGTACATCTGGCTGAAGAGTTTCGAATAGAAAGAAATGCGCATCTCGGATCTCATTACGTGCCAAATACCATATATTCTATACTAAGAGGGAAGGTTGTTCCATTTGCTTAGTAAATGTGTTCTCCATGAAAATAAGCTAAGTGTAAATTGGTGTATATTTTATTACAAGTTGAATGTTTTGTTTTGTTATGGAACCAGAGTGTATAACACATTGAATGGATTAACTTCTTGTTTTTATAGATCAATAAAATATCTGTCACTAAAAGAAACAATTAAACATCTGTGTATCAAATTGTAATTTACACCAAATATATGAAAGAGATAAGAATTTTATTATTTAGCCTTATAACAATAATATGGATAGTACAAAGTGTATTCCATATAGTTGTCAAGCAACTGATCTAGAATTGAATATTGAACAGAAATGAAATAAAAATCGATAGGATATTAAAAAAGTTAACATTGCTATGTTGTTTAATTTCAAAAAGAAACACAACACAATGTCACTGATGTTGAAATAAATAAGAGAAATCCTAATATTACAAAATAGTTAAATGTCTTACATAACTTGATGAATATTGATTGTCTCATTTGGATTAATTAGATCCTATAGAATTACCCTGTATCTTAGTTAGATGATATTATTATACATGAATGGAGATAACATTCTGATTTTTATTGTTGTTGAACACAATGAATAATGATGGATTGTGGCTAGCAGGAGAATCTAGTTTAACGCATGTTTCATTCTATTTAAGAATCGTCAACTAGTTGTACCTGCATCCCACAGATGATGTTCACTCTGCGACTCGAACCCAGTGAATAACATTCACTTCAAACACCATTGAGTTATCCACTTAACTACTGAGTCCTGATCACCACTTGCTTGTGCAATGAGGTGAAGTTTTGAAATTCATTTGGTGTTGTTTTACTTGTATCTTCTTATTGTTATTTAGGATTACAATTGATCATTCTCTTATTGGCATATATACATCCTGTGCAGATTACCTCGATATAACCTAAAGTCACAAGCTTTTTTCAGCAAAGATGGATAATGACTAGCAGTGGAATCCAGCTGACGGAGTCCACTATTCATCTTTACTTATAAAAGTTTGTGAATTAACTCAATATCGAGACAATCCACACAGGATACAGATATACCAATAAGAGATTGATCAATTGTAATCCTAAACAACATTGGGAAGATACAAGTAAAAAAAAAACAACACCAAATGAATGATAGTTTCAAATTCAATAAACAATATTACACATTCACTTAGTATTGTTTTGTTTGAATCTTCTCATTAACGTTTGCGACTGTAATTGATTAGTCTCTTATTGGCATATGTGCATACTATGCGTATTGCCTTGATATTGTCTCAATTCACAGGCTTTATAAGCAAAGATGGATAGTGGCTAGCAGTTGAATTCAGGATACACGTTTGGTCCTATTTCGGACTCTTCAACTGGATATACTTGCATCCTACAGATGATGTTCACTCTGCGACTCGAATCCAGTGAGTACCATTCACTTCAAACGTTATTGCGTTAACCACTTAGATACTACTGAGTCCTAATAGCTACTTGCTTGTGCAACAGGATGAAGTTTTTAAATTCACTTGGTAATGTTTGGCATGTATCTTCCCATGGAAGTTGACTTAATTCAATAATTTCATCGTTTATTCTTATTTTATACTTTTATTGAATAGTCAATATATATTTATTAAAATGAAAAACAAAAAAAAAAGAAAAGAAAAGAAAAAGGAATGGGTTACCTGGCCAATAAGAAAGAAACTCATCATTAAATAAAGAAGAACCACAAAGAAGAAGATAAAAAGAAAAAAAACAAATGAAAAATATGTATATATATAATTTAAGTCTGATGCATACAATTAACGAAATAAAAGAAGTGCAGAAGAAATTGTCTTTACTTTAAGGTATACATGCATATATATATATATATATATATAGAGAGAGAGAGAGGGGCTTTATATATATGTCTGAAAGAACTCAAAAGGGATAAACAAATATTGGAATAAGCGAAACAAAGACCAAAGATAATAATAATAATAATAGATCTAGGGTATTATTAATCAGTAGTAAACAGACAACTGCGAGAAGAGAATTTTATTTAAATTATGTATAGTATATAAATGGAAAGACAAAAATAGCTGGGTACCCACCCGCACACACACACAGCAGAAACGCATTTGTAACAAACATATGGTGTAGAATGAAAGCATAAAGAAGAAGGGGGGCATTAAATATAGTAACGATAGGTCAACTCGTTTAACCGTCTGTAGGCATATAATAAGATGAATATATATATATATATATATATATATATATATATATATATATATATATATATATATGATATTTGTCAGTATAAGTCGGTATAATTTCAATGATATGACTGGCACAATATGTTAAGAGAATATACATATATAACTAATTGTACTTGCACACTGCACAACATACATAAAAGAAAAAGAAAACAAAAAGCATATACATCTTTGGAAACAATGGGGTCATTATGTGACTATTACTATTATTATTATTATTATTCCATATACAAAACATAAAATACCATCAATGGCATAGAAACACACAAAAATAATCATGTAAAAATTGTTCATCTGTATTTTAGAACAAATAAATGAACGATTGAATAATTAAAGAAGGAAAGAAAGAAAAAAAAACACAACTCGTGTGTAAAAAAGAATAATACAACACTGATCATTATTTTCCCCATTTGTAAACATACTACTTATTATTAAGAATAATAATAATAATAATAGAAAGAAAGGTGAATTATACTTCATGTACTGAATGACAGACAAAAAATTCAGTTGGATAGACATGCACACAATACACACACACCAACATATATATATATATATTTAAAGAAAGGCAGGAAAAAAAATCAATCGATTAATCAATATGATATGATTGAAGAGGAGAGAGGGAAGGATATGTCTTTCTTTATTTATTCGTTGAAGATGGATACATAGACACACAATTACACACACACACAAACATATATATATATATACTGTATGTGCATATTCACTTACATAGATATAGACAATATATGTGATTATGTATATATATATAGAAATAACGAAAGAATGAACGAAATGTTGTACCAAGAGAATTTACTACTTAGATGATAAATAATAATAATAATAATAATAATAATAATAATAATAATAATAATAATAATAATAATAATAATAAACCTTTTTTTTCTATAAAAGAAATGGATTATTAGTTGAACGATTGATTATTCCACTATTCAATGGAATATGATTATTCATAAATGATTGAGTTTGATAAAGAATCTATAAAATAGTTAATAGAAAAAAAAAAAAAGAAAAAGATTATTAAAAATAAACAAACCAAAATGAACACAAGAATTCAATCATGGATTATAATAATAAAATAATATCATATTTTATATTATCATGGTGATTATGAACAATGAACCTTAATAAAACAATCAAAGATGAGAATATTATTTGAATTTGGTTATTTTGTGATGAAGAAGCTATAATGACGGACATGTTCTACGAATGTCATCCTAGAGAATTCCATGTCATGTATGATTTGTCAACGCTAAGACTGGTTGGAAAAACCGGACAGGTGATCAGTGTATGATATGGTGTCAGGATATGGATGAAAGCTGCTTCTGTTGGTCCTTCACGACTCCCTGACTAGAGTCCGAGAGATGATGCAACACAATGGCTAGAAATGTTATCAGATATGGCTCAGAATAGAAACCAGTGGCGATCCTGCTGTAACCTTCTTTTACTTTCTTCATAAAAAGCGATTGCTTCTTCCTTAACTGAAAGATTTCTTTTGATTGTACCTTTTTGTTCCCCCCCTCATTATTATTACTATTACACTACCTTACACTAATCTGGTCGTTATTGTTCTCTCTTTTTTTTATAATTCCCTTCGTTTCTTACCTGTTTTCCCTTCTCTTTAAATTCTCATTGTTTTGTGTGGCGCATATATGTTTGGTGACCTCTTGTATCAATAGTTATGTGTTCAAATAAATAAATAATGATGCCGGAATCAGGGTTTTCCAACTCGTCTAGATGGATCTTTTATACTCACAATAACCTGGTTAAAACACAGGATATTTGATTTCCGTTGTTTCAATTTTGTAAACAATACTATCACAATGAGAAGATAGTAAATAGGAATTTCTCTGACAATATGTCTATATACCTGTGGTTATGTGAAAATATTTTGAGAGGAAGGGGAGAATCTCATAACTTTTGACCGTATCAGAGTACTAGGGAGGACTAAACACATGACGATAACCACTGAATAATAATGCTGCTTTATAGTTATTTAGCAATAACTTAAATGTAAATAATTGAATTGGGGCCTTCATTATGGAGAATGAAGCAAAATGTAACCAAAGACCTCCTCACGGCGCTGTTGGATAATGGGGGCAACCCTGATAGTCAACTTACGCAGTCGATGGAGATCGGACTCGTCACCCACTCTGTTGTTTACTTGATTAACATGGTTTCCAACTTGAGGCTGACTTAACCGTAACGGGCTATCTGATGAACATGCTTATGAATAAGAATTTCACAAGTACTCAGACCTATGCAGTTCATATATGTATATGCAAGAGATATGCGTTTGGTGTCGTACAAAGGAAACGTTAGTTGCAAAATGTATGCTCTATGTCTAACAAAATCAGCGGCCTATCCATCAGGTCAAAGACATAATAAGAATAGGTGGTACCAAATACTAGCGTGAGGCGACTAACAACCTCCCTTGACCGAGTGCTTATGCCTGTGTGTGTCAGGAAGTACAGGGGTGGTAACTATGCACTGAATGTTATGTGTGTAATGTGTAGGAGATGTTCTGTTGTAGCAAATACGTTTCAAAGGGAACGGTGAACATCTACTCTCCCAGGTGGGTGAATACAACTACATGTATGCTATGGGATGCATCGGATAAAATCTGTGTTACCGGTGTGCATGTTACGTATATTTGCTACAGCGTAGATATACCTGCATGTATGCCAAGTGATACTCACATGAAAGTTTGTGTGGTAACTAGTATGAAAGTGGATTATACATATCCAGGGCAAGTAAAATTTACTTGTTCTTAGGTGTGATACCATTATGCATGCAAAGACCAGTGGGCCGCGGTCCCCACAAAATCACATTCACATGGTGGGTTTGTAAGCCTTTAAAACACGGAATCTGTTCCAAAAGGATCACTAGATTTCACAAGTAGGATGGAACACCGACAGTATTGGAAACAGAGAGATCTAAGATAGTTAGTTGATGATGGTCAAGAAGAAATACCATTGCTAAGTAATTCAATAACTTTTAACTACTAACAAGATGGGAGTTGACATCTTGAAGTAAATAAAACAGAAAATGATTAAAAATCACACCAAACATACGAGCTACTTGAGGTGACAACAGGTAAGTGATAAAAAGTAACTACTGTTCACTGATAATGCATGGATTCAAATGCTAGACAAACTTAATTACCATATTAAAATACCCAGCTCCTGAATTGAGTTACACAAATATCGAATTTATATAAGATTAAAAGCGAACCAACTTCAGAATGAACTCACATTAGACTGAGCTGACGCAGCCCATGGATTAGTTGAATTCAATGGGATCGAAGCAGTTGGTTGATGATTAGTATTAACTGGACCTATTATTTGATTCAAAGAAGGTGATTGATGAACAGTTGAAACTCGTGACATCTGTTGATTGGATACTGTTGAAACTTGAACACATGGCATAGTTCCAGACCAATTGATTGCAGATAAACTTCCATCGGGAGCACGATAAATACGACCAGCTTGTGTAGATGAATAACTATCAGAAATAGACAAATTTCCAGCTATTTGAGCAATTTTATCGTCTAATGAAATTAATGATTTTGACGGAACATTATTTGCTGCACAAAAACAAAACAAATATAAGACATTTGTTTATGTAAGCAACTGATGCAGTAACATCGGGTACAATAATGATTACGTAATACTGAGGGTGAGAAATCGAGTGTACACTATGTCCGATTATTTAACGTGATCAAAATAATGATGTAGAGTAAATCAAAAGCATGACGCCATTTGTTTCCTCAGGACCCTGTAGCCCATGTGCAGCAGTGGTTTGCAATAAGGGTTTTTCAACTGTCCTAGGTGGACTCTCCGTGTCCACCAACCCGGTCAAATCGCCGGACATTCGCTTTTCGTCCTCTCGATTTTACAAGCGAAACCCCGTCGTCGCGAGAAGGCATTGAGTAGGAATTCCCTGGTAGTGGTTGTATGCACGTGGTCATGTGAGATCATTTCGAGAGGAAAAGCGGACTCTTCCCACTCTCGGCTGTACCAGGGCGTTTGGGGGCACTGAAACATAGTGATTAGAATCATTTAGAATATACAGAAAACAACAATCCTTTCAACCTAATTCCTCTAAAAAGTGAGTAATTCCAAGTGGGAAAAAGAGAGTAAGTAATATAATCATCTTCTTGTTCATTCGACAACAATACATCGGGAACAGAAACTATTCTGGTTTGAATACTCTACATGTCGGAATTATTTAAATTATTAAATGTAAGAGGTTTGTGGAGATTAGGTGAATTTTCATAGTTGTATACCATGGTTAAACAACCATTGAAAACTAGGAAGGGTTGGATAGTTGTTGTGTCCTAGCATGGGACTGTTCTTCAACAATGTGCATCTCTAATCTCACTAACGATCGAACACAGTATCTTCAAGTCTTATGGGAAGCGCTTGATTTTCAGACCACTGAGCTACCATACAAAAGTTTACATACAAGTCTTTAATCACTTGGAGTGAATCGAATTACTATAATACGTTTTCGGCCATTCAACCTGATGTATTACAATTTATGTGTTCGTCAAAGTAATCTAATCACTACCAAAGATCTACTAAGTGATCAGTCATCTATAAACTTCCTAGTCCTCACAGAAGGCCAGTCTCTGGAAGAACAACTCAGTAGTAACATTTTAAACAGTGAATTTTGGTGACCTATGTTAAAATTGCACATAGAGATTGAAGGTTTGCCTGTTGATGAGTGTCAACTAGTTCGAAAACCAGGTTAAGAGAAAATCTGACTTGTGCTAGATTAAATACTACTGCTAACAGGAGTGCAAATATTTTAAATAGAAAGCATTTCTAATAGGCAGCATTTAAACGTGTTCATATGAGGTAAGTCAAATTGGTTAGAATTGCTAACACATGACTTATAGGTAAAGATAGACTGGGTCAACCAGACATATCAGTTCAGGGTCAAATGATAGGTGAAAGATACTGACGAACACACGCAACTATTGGTCAAGGTTTGACCTGATTATCTAAGAGAAACAAATATATTCTTTTGAATGAGTTCGTGAATATATTTCTATTCTAAATCGTCCATAAAAGCTTTCTCATCATCCTCAGTTTTTCTACTCAAATAGCAGATTGGATTTGTACCATAGGCAACGTTTACATCGTTACCAGTTTGGGGCAACCGCCCAACAAAGCAAAGTAACATGAATAAAGAAAGTGTAAAAACGAATTTCAGCTCTTAGTTTGTTTATTCATCTCAGATATAATCTGTATTATTGATCTTAACAATGTATGTAAACAAAAGATGATATTTTTGTAAACATATCAATAATAACCTATCATATTATTTTGCTGGAAAAATTAAACAGTTAACAAACTTTTTAATTGAGATCATGAACCGATTGATGTTAAACTAGCATTGAAAAACTGGAAGCACTGGACGGATGTGGTGTACGTACACGACCCTGTACACGAGAATCAGACCCAGAGGCTTCAACTTCAGGAAAGTAGCTACCGAAGACGATGGGAGATGGTTGAGTAATGTCGTGGAGCGATTGAAGTTAGATTCCAAGCTTTGTTTATGTACAGAAAATCGAGGGTATTTATAGTATCTCAGGTGGCTTTGGGTTTCTGGAACCTTACTAAACATAGTAGCAAGATAGCTAATCAACCTGTCAGAAATGTGACACGTGACTCTTCACTTTCTAGATGTTTTTAAAATACTTTTATTCAATATTGAAAGGATAGAACGTTTTCTAGCGTTTTCAGGATCCTTCTGGGCTTTTTTAGAGGAATATTTTGGATCTCTCCAACAAAAACAAAACAATTGATCGATACGTCAACACTCTAACAAAGAATAAATCTTAAGAATGGGGATTTGCGGAGATTGTAATGATTTTAATAGTTGAATTCATAAGTCGATCTAAGACAGACAACCATTAAAAATCTGAAAGTACTAAACAATCGTTTCATCCTAGTATGGGACTTATCAGAAGTGCACATCCACGATCCCACACGTGAGACTTGAACCAAGGACCTTCAGTCTCGCGCAAGAACACTTAACATCTCAAATTGAAAAAGGTTCATATTTGTCATCTGGATTTAATGTGATATTTTTTATAGCAAAATGTACTCGGTTGGAGTTTCAATATAAAATTCAACACAAAAATGCAAATACATTCATAGCCGATGAGTCATTCAAAATACGATAAAATACTGGTCCTATATTCCACTATTGTTCATTGATCAACTTGAAAAACTGTAATTCCTCTTTGAATTTATTATGATCTATAAAATAATCACCCGATTTAAGCAAATAAACAATATTATCAGAAAGGGTTTTGTGACTCAGTGGTTTAATGGTTAAGCGCTCGCGTGAGAGACTGATAAGTTTTGGGTTCGAATCCTACGAAGGAGGATCGTGGATGAGCACTGTTGAGGAGTCCCATACTAGAACAAAACGGCCGTCCATTGCTTCCAGGTTTTCTATAGTGGTCTAGCTTCAATTAACTTATGATTTCAATTAGTGAAATAAACAATAGTTGAAGCAGAAAAATAACCGAATAAAACAACAACATACAAACAAACAGTTAATAATTCAGAACTAATTTTTACTGAGTGTGTATGTACGTCCATATATATATATATCTGTAAGTATGTACGTACGTACGTATAGATTAGACTATAGTAGGTAAACTACAACAGACCTTTCCTAGAAGATGTCAAACAGAAATATTACCCGTATTTGTTGAAAACTGAGTTAAAATCTATCAATGTGTTATTTTGATTCATATTATTAAGTGCTTTAGGAGTAAAAGAAAAGAGAGAAAATGAAAAAAAAAACAAAACAACAATGACAACTAGTAAACAAATTTAAAGGGTGTGATTTTTGTCTGATTTTATGTTTAAAACAAACAATAACACTAGTTAAGTTATTAGTAGTATTAACAAAGATGAAAGGAAGAGTAAAATCTTATCGGACTATAGTGAATCAATAGGTCAGTTGAATCAACATAGAATCTGGCGTATGTGTACATCGTTTCAAGTTATTGCAATAAAATGTGGAGTAGTAGTATTAACGATAATGGGAAAGATTAAGCATAAACAATGCGATTCGAAAGAAGGTAAAAAATAAAGTTGATTCAGAATAATAAATGGAGTAGGATTGGCAGTGGAATCTAGGATGCATGTTTCGTGACATTTGGAACTCATCAGTTGGATATAACTGCACTTCAGAGTTAATGTTGGTCAGTATATGACATGGTGTCGTGGTATGAAAGAAAGCTGCAAAGGACTAGCTTCTGTTGGTCCTTCACGACTCCCTGGTTGGGGTCCGAGAGACGGTGTAACGCAGTGGCTAGAGACGTTATCAGATATGGCTAAGAATAGAAGCCAGTGGCGATCGTGCTGTAACCTCTTACTTTCTTCATAAAAAGTGGTTGTGTCTTCCTTAATTGAAAGATCTCTTCTGATTGTACCTTTCCGTTTCCCCCACCATTGTTCTCTCTCTCTCCCTTTTTTTTATAATTCCCCACGTTCATTACTTTTTTTTCTCCTTTCTCCTTCTCTTCAAATTATCATTGTTTTGTGTGGCGCATATATATTTGGTGCCCCCCTGTACCAATATTTATGTGTTCAAATAAATAAATAAATACAGAGTTAATGTACATTCTGAGGCTCGAACTCAGTACTGTTCGCTTTAGAATGAACATCAACTCTTAGGTGCAGGTACATCTAGTTGATGAGTCTTAAAGAGGACGAAGAGTGCATCCTAGATTCCATGGCTAGCCACTATCCATCTTTGCATATAATACTTGTTACTGAAGGTAATATCGAGGCAATATGCACAGGATGAACATATGTTAATAAGAGACTAATCAATTGCAATTTTAAAACCTCAATGGGAAGATTCAAATAAACAATACTTGATTGATAATAGAGAACATTAAATCTAATTTACAATTTGTACAGTCAAATGTCATATATAATAAATAAACAATGAAAGTTAATCACAATTATAAAATTATCTAATATGAACTATCAGTAAGGATATTTATCTATTTTTACCATATAGTCCAATTGATAACGATAGATAATAAACACATACAGAATATACAAATCGATGTACATGATTTATATGTATTAAAGGTGAAGGGCGGTGATTATGGTTAATTGTACACAATATAATTAACCGGAAACATCGCTTATATATATATATGTACACTATGCACATACACACAGATACACACTTGAAGTTTGCATTTATATTTTGTTAGCAAATTTCTATGTTCAAAAGCACATAGAATTAACTGACCATGTAAAACTCATTTCTGTACTCATATTTAATTATTCTATTCAAAACTGACAGTAGAAATGATAGGACTTAAGATTAAATATATTTACTAATTACAGAAAAAAATTAATATAAATCTGATTGTAGGAAAGAAAAGAACTTACAATGAATATTACATAAGTAGATTAATCAATAAAATAGAGAAAAACTCAAAATGAAATTCATTCGAGAAGTAGATTGATTTGCATCCATGATCCTGAATGTGGAAATCAAATTTAGGACTTCAGCTTCGTGCACGAATGCTTAACCTTCGAATCATTATGTTGGCAGGTATGAGACAGCTATTCACCTCAGGGTTGCGCAATATCACAAATTGATTGTTAGACATTAAAACTGTTGAATCCCATATTAGGACAAAGAGGTCGTCTAATGCTTTCAGGTTTTCAGTAGTGATCAAACTAAGATCAATTCGTGATTTAAACCGTGAAAATTCTATAGTAATCAGTTGATCACACAGTGAACTATGTTAAACCTAACGGTACTGCGTATTTAATTAAACCTTATTAGGTGGATAAATTGGGCTCGAACCTATGATTTATGAGTTAAACACTAGTGGCCTAAACTGATATAACGGGATGAACAGTGCGGATGTATAACTTCTGAAAATATCATAGACAGGATTATTATTTATGTTTCAATTGTATAATTAGTAGACGTTTGTACTGTTGCAACTCTTTAACTGTGTTGCTGTATGATCAGACACTTCAAGCATGTTAATGCATGAGTTTTGAGTCATGATTTAACTGAGTACTATAAAGAACTAATCTGCTCTCTATTTGGTCTTCTGACTGGTCACTTTGTTGGAAGAAGCTCGAGGACCGGTAAGCGTTAAGGTTTTGATTCTTGTCATTTGACAAGTAGGTCACCGGTCCTATTGGCTATATTAGTGAAATAATTGATAATCGGACTCGAGAGAGACAGAGACCATATAACTACTCTCCGGTCATTATGACCTGATCATACGGAATCCAACAGAACTCAAATAATCTGTTTTTCCTCGGTATAACAAAACTTTGGACAGATATATATGAAAGCAATAGTCGTGTACGTCAAACTCACAATTGGGCTGCATTTGTGGAGATGTGGAAGGTGGATTAGCAGGAACTCGCTGATTCAACATGAAGTCTTTGGATGTAATCGACAACTGAGGATGAGTATTGAATAAGAATGGATTTGTAGAATGCAACTGACCAGAGGACATCATTGCAGGAACTAGAGTTGAAGTTGACTGAGCAGAGAGAAGTAATGGTGGACTTCTATTCGACTCAAATGATAATGAATTAGTTGAAACATCATTGAAATCTATAACAAACAAAAATAATAACATAATTACGAGAAAATTAAATCACTCACAGTAAACGAATCTGTATCTTTCAAAACATGAGGAAAACTAGAAGACAGTTCTTCCTGAATATATACCTGGTGTGACCGTCTTTGGTCTTCTTCTAACTTAAAATTGCACACTCTAGAAAGCATTACAAATCGGAGGAAAGTAATAGGCAACAAGACGTAACACATGTTACGGTTAGCACGAAGTTGCTGTCATGGATTGTGAATGATGGGAACATCTTAGCTTATTAAAGAATTCGTTGAAAAACTTCAAATATACTGATGTAGTGTAATTGGCCTACACTAGCTAGGAACTCACTTGTACATACTGTGTAATGATTATCAGTGTCAGACAAAAGGCGATATTTATCATTAGCCTCTAAATGTCCTGGCACGACTGACGTTGGAGACGGCCCATTCTTTATCTCTAAATGCTTTTACATGGCCACGAGTATACAGACATTGTCAGGGAATTCCTAATTACTGTCTTCTTGTCGTTGTGGTATTGCTTACGAAATTGAGAGAACGGAAATCAAATTTCCTGTGCTTTAACCGAATTGTTGGGTACGGGGCGTTGGAGAACCCTGATTCAAAAATAATGGTGCACATGGTTTCCAGGGTCCTGAGGGAACAAATAAAGTACGAACCTATTCTTGGTTACCGGTTACCATGGGACTACATCTCTGAACGCTGCTTCATTGCTTTATGGATCAGGCCTCTAGGTCAAAGTGTCGGACTGGTCAGCTAAGAAAATCAGCTACTTCGATTCGGGCACCCGGATAGTGTGCTTCTTTGTGTCTAAATGAAATAAATCAATAAATGGTTTTCTTGAACTGAAGGCAAAGTCAATCAAAAGGTCCTATTATAATGTTTGATTGTGAAGAGAAAACATAGGAAATATCTAATTGTGATAGCTTATTGGAAAGTTATTACCCCATTTGAATGGACGTAATGTAATCGAACAATTCTTGTTATAATTATTTCTATTCACGCTTGAGACAAAATGTAATAATGGAGTTAACTGTTTATCCCTGAGATCTATTTACTGACCTAATATCATCTGATAAGTTTGAGGGTACAAAAACAACTCTGAGAATGGATTTTTTTTGGAAACATTGATAGAAAATTTATCGAATATAAATGATTTACACTTGTTGGAAGAATACAGATTGAAATGAATGAAGTTATTTGATGAATTTTCAATGTAAACACAGAAAACATAGTCGATATTTATCTATTGTTATCTTCGATGAAGTCATTGGAATGTAGAAAGTTCATCAAAAGAAAAAAGGTGATGTATTTTAGATAACAGGTCAATTTATGTTATTTCACAAATGTTGGAAGTGTAACTAGTGTAAAAAAAAATGTCATACTGACGTAGTTGGTTTTATACATTCAATTTCATTCAGTCTTTTTCTTTTGGCATCTATCTTAATGTGGTGTATTTAGCAAATTAGATTGGTTCACGTTATGATGTCTAGACGATAGAAATGAACTTTACAGATAAAAGATAATATCAGAAATTCATAGGAAGTCAATTACAAATATGTATAGGGTATTTATGATTAAATTATCATGTTCAAAGAACAAAACACTTATGGAATCCTTCTTTTCCTACTGACCTATAAATACGTTTTCATTTTAATAACATATGTATCTCTTCATTCATTAATGTAATCATTATTATTCTTTTGTATTTCTAATTACTTCTTCGATGGCATGTAGATATTTTTCTTATTTGACTAGATCGAATGTTGAATTATTATTTATTATTATTTTAACACATACATATTGGTACAAGGAGGCACCAAATACATATGCGCCACACAAATCTCATTGGATATGTGTGAGGGCTGTGATACTGCCCGGCTGCCCAAACTGAGGTAGGTGATTTTCTTAGGGAGGTATACACGGAGCCTTCGACGTAAAGGTCCGATCCACAAGGCAATGGAGCAACGTAAGGAGATGCAGTCTCATTGTAGCCGGTGACCAACGATTGGTTCATACGCTATTTGTTTCCTCGGAATACTGGAGCCTATGTGCACCAGTGGTTTGGAATCAGGGTTTTCCAACTCCCATAGGTGGGTCCTCCATATCCACAAACCCGGTTAAAGCGCCGGAAATTGGCTTTTCGTCCTCTCAGTTTCGTAAACAACACCCCTGCTGCGAGAAAGCAGTGAGTAAGATTTCCGTGGTAGTGGTTGTATGCACGTGTCTATGTGAGAGCATTTCGAGAGAGAGAACGTACTCTCCCCACTCTCGGCCGTACCTGTATCTACCCGACACGTATTGAACTCCACTGGTTACGGCTTCTCATTAGAACTCCAAGAAATCCATCTTGAAGCCAGTCACTAGTCAGCACATGATAATTACTATTAGAATAAGGGCTTATCGAGATTGCAATAAATTTATTAGTTGAATTAATGAATCGATCTAAGCTAAACCACCATTGAAAACCTTGAAGCACTAAACGGTACTTGGGTTCGAGTCCCACATACAGGATCTTGGATGCTTACTGCCGAGGAGACCCATACTAGGATGAAACAGTCGTCCAATGCTTCCAGATTTTCAACGGTGGTCTAGCTTAGATTGACTCCTGGACTTAACTATTAAGATATTATCAGGAGTTTTGTGGAGATTTTAGAAATTTCACTAGTTGAAATCATGAGTCAACCTGGAAGCACTGGACGGCCGTTTTGTCCTAGCATGGGACTCCTCAACAGTGCTCATCCACGATCCCGCCCCCCTCCCCTTCGTAAGATTCGAACCCAGGACTTATCAGTCTCTCACGCGAGCGCTTAACCATTAGACCACTAAACAGGCCAGCATTCAACAGTGTTAATGTCTAATTTCAACCAATCGACGAAATTGCACCACCGTACACTAATGTCTTCAGTGAACTGATGATATCTTACATTTATGAATAATAAAATAATCTTATAAATAACTAACCAAGTAAATTCTTTTCAGATGTTATTATGGAATTCTGTTCAACAGATGATGATATCGATAATGAATCATTTGACTGTTGTTTAACATCAAATGATAATAAATCAAGAAAATTATCATTATCTGATTGAATTGAATAATAATTTTGTTGATTTATATCATTATTATTTAAATGATTTTGATGATGATCTGAAAATTTATGCTGTCTTGCAGTAGATACAAATGATTCTAAACGTGCACGTTCTTCTTCAATAATACGTTGACGTTCTACAGGAGTTAATATAAATTTATCTGATCCAGTTGAATAAATTGATGGTTCAAAATCATTATTATTATTACTATTGGATATTGATGGATTTATTGTTGGTTGTGATTTTGGAGATATATTACTAGTAATTTTTCTGTGAAATGAAAAAAAAACGACAGATGAACACTATGGTTTTATTAGTAATAGGAGATTTTGTGGAGATTGTAGTAATTCCAACAGTTCAGATCATGAGTCAGTTGAAGCCAGACCACCATGGAAAACCTGGAAGCAGTGGACGGCCGTTTCGTTAGACATTAACACTATTGGATGCCAGCTCGGTGGTTTAGTGGTTAAGTGCTCGCGCGCGAATCCAGTAGGTCCTGGGTTCGAATCTCGCAAGGGGCGAGATCGTGGATGCGCACTGCTGAGGAGTCACACGATAGGACGAAACGGCCGTCCAGTGTTTCATGGTGGTCTGGCTTCAACTGACTCATGATCTCAACTGTTGAAATTATTAGTAATAGTTTGTATTTATTAATTGTTAAATAATATCTAAGACTACAAATGATCATCCGCTGTTGCTAAGTGCATTGCCTTTATGAAGTATTTCTAAGAATGATCATAGTTAGATTGAGGCTATTTGAAGTTAACAGCTCAACAAATGATGCGTTGTGTGTTGAAAGCTGTAAACACTGGGATAAAGGTAAATCCACTCGCTGAGTTTTATATAAGATGAGACATACATTTTGGATTCCTCTGCAAAGTCAGTTACAACGTAGGACTAGGTACATACATACATCGGTTCAAGTTGCCCCGTTAGCAAAACAAGACGAACACCAAATTCATAGAAGTAGTTACTTTAATGGTAGTAATATATAAAAGAAAGATTGTGGTGTATAAGGATATATTCAAATATGGTCGTCAGAGTAGAACAGCTTTCAAATAAGAAAGATAGGTTCATTTTATATGAATTCAGTAGTGGCTACTAGATGAATTCAATGTGCGTGTCACACTGAATTTGCAACGTAGTAATCTCATTAGATGGAACAATAAGCATCAAGGTGAAAAGGATAGACTATAATTTTTGGACAAATCAACCAGATTTAAGATAACGAGTTTTGGATTTTGGCACGAAATCCATTCATCTATAGCATAGCTAAATAGCATTGCTCTATTACAGTTTATGTCGGTTCGTGATGAGAACTCTAACTCGAATTCCTAACCATAGAGTCGAACTGTAAATCTTAATCCTAATTCCTCACACTAATTTATAACCTTCTATTAACCCTAGTAAGTAGGTGGACATTCTCAAGGTCACCTTAGCATCACTCAAAGACTGTTCATAAGTTATAGTCTGGCTGATACCACTACAATCCAACAATTGAGGTTTTCTTAATAAAAACAGATATTTATAAGCAAGAAGTGATCAATCAAGTCCGGAAAAAAGGGAATAAACAGAAGTTAAAGTGCATTCAATAAAGTAATAAATAGCCATTACAAAATCTTTGTAATTGTACACTGCACTAAACATATTATTATAACTTGTGGCCTGAGTGCCCTGTTAATGTATAACGTAACGATACCGCCAATTAGGGAGCAGTGAATTATCGATCGGACCAATGACGCGTAAAACCCGTATGAGCAGTCTAGAGTACTTATCGGTCCTTCTTCCTGTCTAGCCCAGCCAGTTAAGTCCAGAACACCAATCTCAGACACTGAAATATGAATCATTCATTTCCAACATACTCGGTTTATATACCAATCAGACAGACCACATCCTACCATAAAATGGAAAATAACATCTGTACAAGAATTAACCAGATGTAGCTATGAATGTGGGAGGTAGTAATTAATAGACAGAGCATAATTCAAGAATGGTAAATCGTATAATAACAGTTCATAGGTCAAAATAAAGATCACAATAAGATGGACATGAATATGAACAGTTTAGTTGCATAAGAATTATATGATAAAAATATACGCATAGTATTGGTCCATAAATGGATCCCAAAAGTTATCATTCATTATTCGTATCGGGACATAACACATATGATAAAACTGCATCTCTGTGCTAATGTGGTATGGCAACTCGAGCTGATGTACGTATGTACGAAGTTCTGCCTTGTTACTGACTGACTATGATACTGTGTAAGGCGATTATCATTACTACTGTACAAATAAAGTTGAAAAAAATTTTTTGTAGTGTGAATATATTCTAAATTTGCGTAATGATTCTATGAAATATGTATTTTGTTGACGTACATATTGAAAAACAATACTTTCCTACAATCATAATACTTGACTTTCAACATTGATAAATGTACTGGTCAACTAATTACTATGTATCAAATTCAAGCTATTCACTTATAATCAAAAACGTTTTACAACTGATACTCTGTAGACCATATGCTATAAAATTTGAAGGCTTATAGTTTGAATTTGTATTGCATTGTAAATAAACATTGTTGACGAATCACATATATATGGGAAAAGTGAATTATACAATACTTTTTGGTATTAGGGAATTGACTTAATCACGAAAATTACCTGATATAAATGATAAAACAAAATCCACTTGTATATACACATTTATTGATCACTGGTTGAGTAATAGTAACCCAATGTCATATTTGTTTGATCCTGATCAAGTTTGGTCGATCAGATTATTGTAAAATATCACAATAATTATGGACTTATAACTGTAGAGCCTGATGATGAAGTTATTGAAAACAATTGTTCGCTCAAATATTCTTAATTTTTGAATATTGTGTGACTATTCAAAATTAATATCTCAGATCTGAATCCTACCAAAGACGATGATGATATAATGTGTACGAAGAAGAAGAGAATTTTATATTTTACTAAATATGTCATACTGAATACATAGTTTACATAATTCAGTAGTATATCAAATGAATGATATATTCTGAGAAAAATTTATTAAAGTAAACACTTACTTTTCAGTTTGTTTATGACCTTCTAAGTATGTTAAATGTTCTTCAAGAGCTTCTAAAACTGATGGAGGGACCTAGTGATTAACGTAATACATTTCAAACAATTAGAATATACATATTAAATATGAAAAATAAAATGTCAAATTGTACAAATTGAAAGGAAAAATAATGTGAATTGCATTATATTGGACAATAAATCAATATTCTCAGAGTAGATTTAATGTGAAAATAAATTGTTTTTGAACACACTAAGGGGGGGGGGGTTGAATCTATATATGATGTTTAAGGTTTCAATAAACTGTAATATTTTCTCCTGGAGACTCTTACACGACGCCACAAACGCTGATCCGATACCAAACAAACCTAAGGCCGGTCTCAACCCGACATTTAGAAATGGATGAAGATGTTGACTTGTCCAGTGCTCTTATTAGAATATTGTAATTCACTGGTTATTTTAGCCAATTAGGTATGTTACATGAAGACCACAACTGCTCCTTTCAAAATGTATCAACATATATACATATAGAGTAATAAACATAATGGGATGTAACACACTTTTTGCATAGTGTTTGGGCTTTGGTAATGGATGAACTTTGACTTTTCAAAACTGGGTTGGGTTGCATAAAACGACTTATTGACCGCTTATTTAAAATTTCGCTTCAAAATAGACTATTTGAGCTACATGTGAATGATAGGGTGATATAAAGACACGTGCGATTAGTGGTTGGATACTTTGGGTGAAATGGTTCAGAGTTGTTCACGATAGTACCGATGAACATACCTTTCAATTCTGTGTTTTCAAACTATATTCTAGATATTCAGTTGTTTTCTCTCTCATTACTAAAACATTATTTCGATTTCTCTTTTAATTTGTCTTGGAGTGGCTAATACGATAGGGCAACTTGAACCAACACATATCTGTACCATGCTCTACGTTAATAATGACTGACTGATATGAAGATAAAAAAAAGACGATGTGAAATTCGATAATTGGAATTATGAACTCTCCTTGGGAAGAATCATTCTTTAATTTCTTTCAGGAAAAGAACGATACCCAAATAACTGAAATGAGGAAGTCATAATTTTGTTTAAACATTTTTACATCTGACAATATTGCAGTTAACATGTCTATGGTATTTAGCTACTATTAAAATTGATAGTAGTATAAAAATAAATCATAGAATAACTAAGTAGATACTATTCGAGGTCAAATGTAGCGGTTATGATCAAGCGCTAAGTTGCTTGTTTATTCTACATTACAAAAGATATTTTGTTTACACTTACTGGTTTAAAAGGATTGTTTTCCGAATCAATTGATAAGGGTGAGCCTCCAGGTTCAGCAGACTGAAGTAAACAAAAGATCGAATGATTTTATATCGATTTACAGTATTTTAATGAGATATTTGTAAGGAAAGTATTCATATGAAGAACTGTAAAAATACAGTGTAAGAAATTTCATTGAAGTGATAAACAGTTTCAGATTTGTAGTGCAACAAAATAGGAACAAGAGGGTGGTAAACTTAGCAATATATACGTATCTTATCACAATTAATTGATCACTACATGGTGATCTATGTCATGTGTGTCAAGTCCTTCGTAGAGCAGATCGAATGCTATCGACCAAGTGGCAATGTGGCCACTAGTCTAGGTGACTCGACATTACGTGCACTATGTTGAGATTAGATGGTGATTGGAGGTAGTCAACAGGAAACCCTGGACGAGTGCCAAGTAACACGAAACCCGGACCCAGGGTTTCCTGTTGACTATCTCCAACCACCATCTAACATGTATTTTATTTTCACAATATACATTTCACAAAAGTAATATACAGAATGGATTGTTGTGCAGTCAACTGGTTCTCCAGTTTGCACTACAAGTCGTGTAGGTTAACAAAAATATAACCAAGATTTCTGAATCTATTAAGAGATTTTGTTACGAACTAGATCAACAAGGCTGATGAAACTCCCAAAACATATGAAGTGGTCGATGAATTAAACCAATTCATTCATTGTTAATTTAGGTGTTTGCTTAAATAAGTATTGAAGAAACCTTTTGAATCTAGAAGGTATGAAATAAATATCAAATACACTTGCACTATTGCTCAACGTGAACAAAAGATTCAGTATTTTGTCAACACCTTCACTAAGTAAGAATATATCATATCTGTGTATCCATTATGCTGTGAAAGATAAGTCTCTTTCTGATGTTAATAGCTCATATATCTATTTTAATTTTAAAAAAAAACATTTATTCATCGGAACTGTAACCCTTTAACAATGTATTGAAGAATAAAGATCCTGGTAGGGGTAGATCAATGAGTGTATTATGGTTATTTAACGAGACATTGGGGGGGGGGAGGAGGAGAGAAAACAATGTCAGTTAATTTTATTTTAAAAATAAAATATCTAAGCAGAAAGTTATGCCTAAAACAAAGACATTGATAATGGTGTTTGTATAAATGATAACAATCGTTCTAATGATGCACTTATAGATGACGTAATTGTTATAGTGGAATGAATATTGGAACTTTTCAAGTTATTTTTCAGATTATTATTGTATAATTAGTAGATAATTGTATAGTTGCAGTTTTATATTAACCTTATCGTAAGCTTTTACTGAACCTATTAATTGTTGCTATACATTTTAATATCCCTTAATCATTTTTAATTAATTATGTACTATTTGCTCCACTCTTTATCACTTATGATATTTCAAATGTAATTGTGGTATGCAAAATCCGACTCACACGTTCGTGTCGTACCTCCTGGATAGTGAGACGAATGTCTCATGAACTAATGTGAGCGGTAACCCGGGTGGTAGAGATCGGGCTAATCCCCTACTCGACCTATACCCACCAACTGATTACGAAATCCACAGAGAAACATAGTACAATTCACTTATGATATGATTGTATGCTAATAAAGTATAACTTCTTATTAAATGGTATGCGTATGTACTTAGTGCACTATTCTATGAGTTTCAAGTGATGATTGAATTAAGTACAATAAAGAACTAATCTGCTTCTTCTCATCTACATTTGATTAATTCACTGAGTAAGAACAAAGAATTCAAAGATCAATAAAAGTGTTGATTGGTCAATATGTCAATTAGTAAATAGATTTTAATCAATAATCGACAGTTTATTCTAGCACATAATATTGATCCACATTTCAAATCATAACAAATTAACGATCACAAGACACAGCAATAATAATATGCGATGATGTTACAAAATACTTGTAATCCGAAACAAAAAAAAACCCAAAAAAAAGTGAAATACGCAAAAACAACGAATTATTGAATTAATTACCTCAGCAACTCTTACAAATGTATTCATAGATTCCATACGTTTTAGAAAATTCTTATAAATCTCTAATGATACCCGACAATCTCGTTTGGACATAGTGAAATATCGACCTGTGTGTATAATTAATTAGATAATATGGAGAGGGGAGGGGGTTGGTTTATTTTTACACACAAGAAAAAAATCAAACAAAATTAGAATATCATTATTCAATAAAAAAAATAGTTAGGGCTTGGAGAACGGTAGTATCATGTTTCTTAGATAATGTATATGTAATAAAGTTAATTAGTGATCGCTAATTGGATGTAAGCAGTTCAGGAATCCACATGTGAATAATGTTCAATCTCTTCAATAGATATTGCCAGTCACTATGATGTCTCTTTATACTGTTTTTTGTAACTTGCGCAGTGAAAGAACGTAAACTTTTTATAAACGTGCCTGAATAGGTTATGCCATTAATAGACTTAATGATGTGATAAAACAAACAAACAAAACAGATAACTTGCTTAAATATCTAGGTGGCAAGAAAAAGGTAGCCTAAATATTCAGGCACATCGCATTCAGACATCTGCTAAAACAAACTGACCAGTAAACTCAGTCGAAAAAAACAAACAAAGAAGCCGTGACCGATGGGGCTAATCCGTGTCGGGTAGAGACAGGTATCTACCTCAGTACAATGGAAGATGGTTGCGCAATTTCGTGGATTGATTGATGTTAGACACTAGCACGATTGGATACCGCCTCAGTGGTTCAGTAGGTTAAGCGTTCGCATGCGAGAATGAAGGTCTTGGGTTCGTATCCCGCGAGCGGGATTGTGGATGCGCATTACTGAGGAGACCCACAATAGATCGAAACGACTGTTCAGTGCTTCCAGGTTTTCAATGGTGGATTAATCAAAATAACACCAAAAAAAATATTAACTGTGGAAAAGTTTCATTGTTCTACGACAGACTACAAATATATTGAAATTAGATAATTTTAAGAAAAAAAAAGGTAAACAGACTATCTACAGTTTTCATTTCGTTATCAAGAGTGTTTTCTTCGAAGAGACAACAGTAAGACTAACTTGATTTCTTCAGTATTCCACCAGTGTAAGTTTGTTATGTTGTTCTCTATTCATAACCTTTCAATCAATTTAACTTAACATTAGTACAAAATTTATTTAAACTATAATAATTTTATTAAATTGTACTTTATATTAGTTATTTATTGATTTATACAATCTTACTGTTTTACACTTATTCACAATACTATGATTTCATTATGTATAGTGAAGTATTTAGTGATTCTATTGTGTTGTACTAAAATGATTACTGTTTTTCATGAAACGTTTACATATGAGGGGCCGAAGGTCTTGGATTCGATTCCTGAGTGTGAGGTCGTCGATATTGACTGACGAAAAGTCCTATACTAGGATGAAACAACCGTCTAATGCTTCTAGGTTTTCAATGGTGGTCTAACATTGATCGATTCATGGTTTCAATAAAACCAAGTGTTCACATTAAAATATATATATATATGCCAAATAAGCTAGTGAGGGAATTTCCGTAGGGACGGATCAGTTGTATAAAAAGAATACCAATGAATTTATCTGAATCATTTGTATGGTAACATGGAAAACTGTAGATACATACAGTTTATTTGTAGAAAGAGTGATTAATCTCACACCCAATTCTATATTCATTTTTAAGTTTACTTGCCATAGAAACCTTTTGATCACTAATAAAATAGATGACACTAAAGTACAATACATTTATTAAAGGTGATATTAAAATAGACTCAATTTTACAAGCTTAAATTGTTAATTTGAATCATCATTTAGATAATTGGGACAGTGACTTAATAATAAAAGTACTTAAATTTCAATCATACCAAATAACAGATTTAAACCTTACTCTATATATTTTGATTTGATCAACCAGACAGTATTTTGGTGTATGCTACTTATATCGACAAATATTGAACGGAAGAAATTTAGAAGTGAAAGAAAAATATAAAGGATGTCAAGAACAATTAATGGAAGACATATAAATCATTCGATTTGTGTGAGAGTTGTGATACTGCTCGGGTGCCCAAACTGAAGCAGGTGGTTTTCTTAGGGGGCCACACCCCGAGCCTTCGACCTAAAGGTCTGATCCACAAGGCAATAGAGCAGCGTAAGGAGATGCAGTCCCATGGTAGCCGGTGACCAACGATAGGTTCATACGCCATTTGTCCCTTCAGGATACTGGAGCCCATGTGCATCATTGGTTTGAAATGAGGGTTTTTCAACTGTCTCAGGTGGACTCATCGTGTCCACCAACCCGGTTAAATCACCAGACATTCGCTTTTTGTCCCCTCAGTTTCGTAAACAACACCCCTGCTGCAAGAAGGCAGTGAGTAGGACTTCCGTGCTAGTGGTTGTATGCACGTGGCCGTGTGTGAGCATTTCGAGAGAGGGTGCGGACTCTCCCCACTCTCGGTCGTATCAGGGCATTTTGGGGTGTTCATTCATTACAACATCACAAACTCTTGAATTTAATGTATGACTTGCAGTCAAATATGTGAATCTGTACTTCGTTAATGAGTTAATATGTATGTTCGCATCGGTTCAAGTTGTTAGATTACATTATGTTAGTGAGATGAAATGATTATGACAAATTTAAAAGTAGTAAAAGCAGTAGTGTGATGTATTAGCAGATATAAATTGTATGCAACATCAATCGGAAATAGAATGCCTGCCAACAGAAGGTTGAAATAAAGAGAGCAATAGAAATAACAACAGAATTAGAAGAATGATGGAATATGTAAAGGACAACTGAAGGAGGTTGTGTAAATCATGTATTTAATGTATGATTTTCATATTTTATTAGACCACTGTGTGTTTTTACATTAAACAGTAAGTTCAGTTTTCTCTATCTAAGTTTCGTTCACTACAGTAACAGTAACAATAGTAGTAGGAATGATTAAACATACAAACAATTATCAACTGATTTGAGAATCTTTGGTTACTAAATAGGGTCTAATCCAAGCAATGTTCACTTAATGATTTTAACATACACGAGTAATTCTTTATTATTCGTCATCTGTTAAAACTGTTATATAGATGTGAGCCTAAGATCCCATCAATAAACAGTGCCAGGTATGTTTTATTCCTGGCGCCTTTTATATCTTTTTCCCCTTGTTTTAAATAAAAAAACGCAACAATTACTTCATCGAATGATAGAAATGTTTCTGATCTGAGATACACTATTCTGTTAAGATTTTTGTGTATCCATATAGTAATTTATTGTGTCTGTTATTAGTTCAAACAAGAGACTTTCGTAAGTTATTCTCTATTTTCAGCTTACATATCATAACTATTCAATCAAGCTATATCGGCTGGAACACTTGAGCCTTTAGGTCCTATCATTCCACATAGGTTAACTGGAGAACGGGTAAGACAAAAAGCAGTAAACTAAGGTCCGAGGACGGAGTTCTATTACTGACTATGCTGGGATATTATAGAAGTAAAGTGTTTCCTCCAGACAACCAACATCCGTACTGATGCTTCCTTCTCAAAGAGGAAGGGATTAGAAAAGGTTAGCCATAAAACTGTTACATATCACCATGCTCTATGTGTTTCCATAGTCGAAAGTAAGGCCTTCAAAGTATGGAACTATCTCGTTTAAAACTGCCCAGAAGAAGACCGTGTGCAAATGGTCTGAAGCAGTTGTCCCTTGGTATATGCAGTTACGCATTCCAGTTTCTTTTGCACATTCCACAGTATGGGCGACAACCGTTCATACACATCTAATCTTTAAGCATAGAAAAACAATTCAATAGAATATCTATGATAAGAGCTGGAAATGCTGATGACTATGTTTATATATTACTAATGATTTTCACAGATAATGTATAACAATAAGGATTTAGTAAAGAAATACGTATGGACAGCGAAGAAAAAAAAGTGACTTAGACACATCTATCCATACGTTTAAATGAAGATTGATGAAAGGAAAATTTAGAATAGGAGCTGTGGAGATTATTAAGTTTTTGATTGAGATCATGAACCGATTGATGTTAAAGCACCGTTGGAAATCTGGAAGCGACCTGTCCAGCACTGGACAGAGAAGAAGAATTATTAAAGTAACCAATAACGAAGTAAACAAAGATTTTTCAATGTATAAAATACACTTTAGTGAATGTATGAAATAAGAGTGATCATGTGATAACTTGTGGCTCTGTGCTCTATTAATATATAACGTAATGATACTGTCAATCAGAAAACCGTAACTTATCGACCGAACCAATGACGCACAAACCTGTACGAGTAGTCTACAATCTCTATCACTAGTTCTTCCTTCCTAGTCCTGCTAATTGAGTCCAGAACACAAATCTCAGCCTCCGCGGTATGAATTGTATGTTTCAAACATACTGGGTTTATATACAAGCCAAACAGACCACATGATTCCATAAAATAGAAAATAACAATTGTACAAGATCTAGCCAAAAAGTGACTGCAATTGTGAGAGACTGTACCTAATAGACTGGACATAACTTAAGAATGGTAAGTCGTATAATAATAGTCCATAGGTCAAAATAAAGCTTATAATAGGAGGAATATGAATACACAAAGTTTAGTTACTTAACCATTATACAATAAAAATATATGTATAGTATTAGTCTATAAATAGATCCCAACAGTTACCATTCATTATTCTCATAGGGATATAACAGGTCATAATACGACAAGATATTTAAAACCATTAGATATACATCGATCCGTACCAGTGCGAACAATTTTTAGCATAGTATACTCTTGTATTCGTTAAATTCGTCAATCAAGTACAGGTTTATCACATACTTAGCTCTGAGCGCCTACATTATTTTTGTGAGAGCTGATTGACAACTAACTTAGCCGTTTAAAGTTGGTCTTAGTAACCTGAGAGCGTGACTGCAGTGTCCAAGGGACAACTGCTCGAGGTCGGTTATACACGACCTTCTTGTAAGTAATTCTTGTGTTAGATCCGTACCTGTTGAGACCTTACCGCCGGAGACGGATATCCGTAGGATAAGGCGAGGTGAGTATTTTTTGGGTCAACCTTTTCTAATCCCACCTTTCCTTACGGGAAGGCAGTATCGCTGTTATGCTGGTTGTCTGAGGGAAACACCTTACTGCCGTTACACCTCTGTACAGTCAGTAGTATGACTTTGTTTAAACCAAAGTAGATGCAGCATGATTCGAAACTAAAACCTATTGCTTGAAAACTGAGCACTTTGATCACTAAGAAAGAGGTAGCACAATAGAGAAAATCCTAATTGTGCTCTTTCATCTGTTGAAATAAAACAATTACTTTAACAAGAAATAAAAAAAATCAAAACATACAATAAAAACATACCAATTAGATTAATCATACCCTCATTATACACAGCGTATAAACGAATTAAATCCCGATAAAGAGATAAATGAGCAACTCGAAGAAGTGAATTCGACAATTCATTGAGTGTAGCCTAAAAGATTATTATGAAGTATTAATAATAATAATAGTAATAATAATAATTATTATTATCATAGGAAGGTTTGAAATTCAGAATATATACATATACATGATTATGTAATAGAAATATTACAAACACTTTGTACTTACATCAAACATAAGTAGAGCATCTAATTGTTTCTCAATAACTGGTAACGTTTTCATTAACTATTAACATTTAATAAGAGAAGATAAGCAACAAAAAAATGTGAATAGTAATATTGAAATCTACAGTTTTACTAAGAAATAATAATGAAATATAATTTGAGTGTAAATCTTCAATATTGAATGACATCCATTGAAGAATTATTGAAGTAAAAAGAAAAGTACGACTAGTATTTCAGCTTATACATACGTATAAGTATAGGATTGTGGAGATTATTGATTGAGAGCCTGAACCGATTGATGTTAGACCACCGTTGAAGACTTGGAAGTACTAGACGGTCGTTTCGTTCTATTGTGGAACTCCTCAGCAATCGTGGTCTAACATCAATCCACTCAAGATCTCAATCAATAACTTAATTATCTCCACCACCCCAAACTGATAATTACTATGTGCAAACTAGTGACTAGTTTCGTGAGGGAAGTCTCGGAGTTCTAGTGAGAAACCGTGACCAGTCGAGCTAATCCGTGTTGGTTAGAGACAGGTATCTACTTCAGTACAATGGAAGATGGTTGTACAATTTCGTGGATTGGTTGAGGTTAGACATTAACACCATTGGATGCCGGCTCAGTGATCTAGTAGATAAAGCGTTCACGTGCGAGACTGAAGACCCTGGATCCGAATACCGCGAGCGTGATCGTGGACGTGCACTACTGAGAGTCCCACAATACAACGAAACAGCCGTTCAGGCTTCCAGGTTTTCAATAGTGGTCTAACATCAATCGGTTCAAGATCTCAATTTATACATACGCAGCTAGTCAATAGTTAGAATGGAGAAATTCCCAATTACTGACCTCAATATACTACTATTGTAGTAAACGAGAACCCCAATACGGTAAACCAATTTATTGATTTATGCATAATTACACAGTGCCTTCGTAAAATATGAAAATCGTACATTAAATACGTTATTTGCACATCTTCCTTCATTGTTCTTTACATATTTCATGCTTCTTATAAATCTGTTTTTTTATCCGATTGCCATCTGTTTTCCTACCTGTTCTTTTCAAATTCAATCTTCTGTTGGCAAGCAGTCC